GATGAAAATTCAGCGACCAGAGGTTTTAGATGAGAATGAAAATTGTCCGTGGCACGTCGTCCCCGTATTATTCGTAATGAGTAAAATAATTATTGTATTTAATTTAATATTGTCGTGCCTAACGTCTTCATCTCCCTCTCAAACACATCGCACAGACTATCGCCGGCTGGCCTCACACACACACATTATTATTTGACTTTTTACGGCAATTTTTTTTGTATTATTTAAAATATGTTGTTGTATTTGTAATTTTTTTATAATAATATTATGTAGTATACCAATCTAGTGTTCAAATTCGTTGAACAGCGATAATCGAATTTTTAATTTCTCCTTTGAGTGAGCTAAAATTATGTACCTATTGAATTATTGGTATAGAAGGTAGATATAGGCGCTAATATTACTTTATGTTACACCCTAATCGCCGCTAATATATTATACAACACATTCACTATCCATATTACCTACGTATCATGGCTGCAAAACGCAAGTCGCAACTGTGTTCATTGTTTTTTATAAGGTGTTATCATAGACTTAAAAACGCTCATTAGGAGGTACCTATAACTTTAATTTAATAATGTGCTGCATCAGCTCAAATAGCTGTCTAATATAATCTAATTATTCACAATATAATATTATATTATATCATTGCCAATCATTAAATAATTGGCAATGATATTGAAGTAATAATACATTTTATTATTTCTCCAATAAATATTATAGAGCCAAAAAGCCATTGCATTTATCTTTCAATCGTTATTTACGTATTTTATTAATTGTTCTCAAAAAAGACTATATACTTACCTAATTGCAGAGTTCATCTATTTACCGAGTCCCGTATATTAGAATTATCAATATTATTATACAGCAACATATTTTATACTACCAGAAACTTCACACAGTAACACTATACACAATACAGTAATACACATAGGTACCTAAATACATAAACCCATTTACACACTTATACCCAGTACCCTCCATGCACTGCACTCGCTGGTTTTGTTAAGAAACCCTATCCACTACCTTTGAACTACTATATATTATATATAGGTATACTGTAAGAAGTCTTGGACGCAGGTTTAAATGGAAGTCGATGAATAAAGAATTCTGTTAGTAGGTAGTTGGTGTTAGTGGTTGGTGACATAGAAATAGGACTTTAGTAATCATGTGGATGTTAAATAAAATTAGAGAAATAATAATAATAATAGTAATAATATAGTTATAGACGTTATAGTTATAGTTTTAGTAAAAGTTATAGATATATAGTATTAGGAGTTAGGACAGTGTTGAATTTAAATAAGTAGGTATAAAAAATTGACCTATAATAAATTCCAAATTAATCATATCACAATATCCATTAGGTCTTATAACACGTTATACATCAATAACAAACCCTGATACTATCAAAGATATATAATATAGGTATAGGTATAGTGTACTTTAGAAGTTTCAAGTACTTACCCACGAATAGTATTATACACTCACAACAAAATAACTAAAATAGGTATGCTAGGTTTTTTAATATGTAATTTTGTCCCAAATTTGAACTTAAAATTTTTATAAAAAATAACTGTGCTCATATATTTTTTAGATTTTTTGGCTACATTATGAACTATTTATGAGAATCTTTTTTTAAATTTTCAATCCTTAGCTATAAAAACTGAACATTTTATAATTTATTAATTACGATGATTGATAATGTTCGAGATTTTGATAAATTTTGTCAAAACGCGATCTTTAAATGCTTATAAAAACAAACTAATAAAATTGGAAACTGAAAATGTCCCTAAACAGTTCAAAATAAATCAAAATATTTTGAAAATGTTATCGTGTATAGAAAATGCAAATATAAACAACCACTGAAAATTTCATGTATTTGATATGTATTTAATGTCATTTGTTTTAAAGTTACACCAAAAACCAAAATCGATTTCCTCGAAAACAGATTTTGCATAAAAATTCCCGTTTTTCCTTAATTTTTCTTTTGTTTTTCCCGGCGCTTTTGAAAACTACTGGGAAATTTAAATTTTAACCTCCCCAATGCACCAACGATATTCACTTTCCAATCGAATAAGATACTGAAGTTGAAAATCGAAGCATTATTTCGACTAGGTACTTATCGTGTACATTAGCGTAAATAGTGTTTTAAATTTGGGGGGCTGAAGCTCATGTCTATACTTGAAACTCTTATGATGCTTTTAAATTATATTAGTGAAATCATTAGTTTTTGGGGGGGCTATAGAAACTCCAAGGGGGGCTAAAGCCCCATAGCCCCCCTTCTATTTGCGCCTATGATCGTGTACACAGACACAAAAAAAATTAAAAAATTAAAAAATAAATAAACAAAAAAAATAAATAAAAAAAACACACATCATTGTAAAATCAATACATTCATCGTTTCACTCAGAATCTAAAATCTATTTCCTGCTTGGTCCAACTTTCCAAACATTGAAACATTAATAATAGTTAATATTTATTTTTAATTTACACTATATGTACCTATGTCCTACACAATAACTAGCGAAAAAAGTAATGGACAAATCTGAGGCCCCTAAATAAATTCTAACTATCGAGAACCGGTGGCTAAGCCCCCCCCCTTAATCCGGGCTTTCATCAACGATGAAGTATTGAAGTAGGCCTAGACTTGGCCACACGAGGAGTGAGGACACGTCGAGGTTCCTCGTGGTTTCCTGATGTCCATCGTGTACCTAACGTATAGTGGACAGACGCGGGCAGTCAAGCACATTATTGTTCACTGTCCAAATTTTATAGAGACCAGAAAGAAATTCTTCATACCGACAACTGACAAGTGAATTACCTACCCTTTTTAAGTTTGGTGGGTCGAAATTAAAAAAAATTTAGATTAGGTATTCTACCTACCTCCAAAATAACTCATTGTAAAAAAAAACTGTAGTAATATATAGTATATTTTTTAGACACATAGATATTATTATACTATTATTTTTTAGGCTATTTATACCACGAACCTATTCACACCATTCTACGGTAGGTACTTCAGGCAAGTAATTTGTTGGTAGTGCCCGGGTGCCGGGAGGGGTAGCAAAGTGTGTATTCGCACCTATATTTTGTAAAACGCTTTCAACGACCTCCCTAAAATAAAATGAAAGCGCAGATACTATGTGTCTTAAATCTGACTTTAAACCAGTATTTCGTATTTCATATTTTGAAATTTTATTATTTTTATGATTTTTATTTCCTAATACATTTTTGGTGGTAGTCTGACAATAATGACCAACTACCTAGGTACTAAGGCAAAATTGTTCAGTAATAGGATAATTAATAGCCATATTACCAATAGTACCTATAGAGAACAAATAAATAATAATAAAAATATTATTTTTACTTGGAACAAACTAACACCACGAGAGAACTGAAAGAGTTCTAATCGTGTTAATATTAATGGTATGGGAAGTTAATGATTTGAAAATGGCCTGTAAACATTATGGAACAAATCTGAAATTACGTGATTATGGTTCCTATACGCCACTATATTTCCATCAATCGACTTAAAAACAATACCTAATACTTGTTATAACCACATAATATTATAATACAGTGAAACCATTTTGTAACGGACAGTCACGTGTTATATATAAACAGGCTTTAGTATTTGTCAGTCAAACTCTTATGGGTACCTATCCGAAGGTGTCTAAGTATTTAATGAAAATATTTTATTTTTATGAAAAATAGCCGATAATAAAAATGAGTATAATTAAATTAGTTATTACATATATAACATAGTTACACCGTACGCACAACAATACTTGAATACTACATTACTACATACCTACATTATTATTTATTATAAATATACTCAATTATTGTCATGATTGATATTAAAATAGAAGGTATATAATCGGTCGTAATCCATGCCTTGACATATTGTAATCACGACATAATATTATACTTGAAAAAGAGTCTTACACACATAATCGTTTTTCATATATAATGATTTATCATTTATCACTCAACTAAAGAATTCAAATTGAACACATAATTTATCTAAAAATATTTTTTTATCCAAAATAAAATGAGAATATTATGTCAAAGGTACATATTTTATACTACAGTAGAACACAGGTAGAAGTTTCGATAACAATTAAATTATAACTTGTGAAGTAGGTATAACTTGCAGTTGCATAAAAAAATAACATTTATTGAAACATTAATTTTAATGTAATACAATTATAGAAATAGATTTTAGACGAGTTATTTATTTGTGAAAACATTAATAATTATGTATTTATGCACGACTGTATGCAATGTTTGAAGAATAAAATGTCTAATTGAAATCATTCTGTACATTAAAGGATAGTAAAATTTGTCTTGCTAAAATAGATGTTTAAAATGGCCACAAGAGATAACATTTTGACTAACCATGCAACATTTGCAAACCACAGATTTGAACAGCTATTTGTTTCATCTAAATTCATTGAAATTATTAGTCATTTAATACATAAACATAACTATACCTAGACCAAAAAATATAAACTCTTCATTTACATTTGAATTCAAACTTATCAAAAGACATTTACAATAATACATTTTCAATAAGTGCATATTGGTTATTCATTTTAAATAATAGTTTTTCATAATGGAAATAAAAATCAATAGGTATAAAAATGAATAATTTATGTAAAAAAAACCTAGAAAGACAATAATTAAATTCATTGGTTGGACACAACGATTCAGTACCTAATCAATCAGACACATATAATATATAATAATTATATAATACAAATTCTTAAATTGAATACCATGCATTTACGTGTGTATATATAGTAAAAATTATGTATGAAATAACTTTACTAATGCCACAGACACAAAATATTAACATGTTGAAAAATAAATGTATAATTAATATAGATAATTGTTTAACAAAAATGTTAGATTTGTTTTATTGAATATCCTTTACACTGTACACTTAAATCTTTTATATAAATTATGTTAAGTATCCAGTACCATTGAGATCATAATGTTTACCTGAAAAAGATCAAAATAGATTAGATCAATAGAGCTATACCCTAACATTAAATTTCTGAGTAACAACAGCTGTAATAGGTACACTACAATTATTTTTAAAAATATTAAAAATTGTACATTAGTAATTGTTTCAATCTTCAGTATCACAATAATGGAGTATTTAAATTTAATTTTAGTTGTTTTATATTATGCATTCTTCAAATAAACGATTAAACTTTACCAACACTAGTTAATAAGGAACCGTTTATTATAAACCTGTATGGATGAGAATTTGAAATGAATATGGAATATCTTTCTATTATTGCTATTTGAAAGGTTCGATACAACATTTCAAAATAACAATCATTGATATTTTAAAATAATTAATTCACAATAAAGTGTTTAATATGTAAAATATTTTATCATATTCAAAACAATAGAAAAAAAAAATAATACAAATTATTATCATACACCAAACACTGAGAGAATAAAAAAAGAATATACAACAATGTATCAGTTAATTTACAAAACTTTATTTATGATACTTCAAGATGAAAAAGGTGGGCAAGTGGGTGTCGCTCTGCTGTACAGTAGGTTACAAGTGGGTCACTGTATAATGGATGGTATTAAATTTGAATTCAATGATATAATATCATTGTATAAGAAAAACGATTCTGAGCGGTGACGGTATGTCAGTCTATGTATAAGACATATTATATACATATCTATGGTATATTGGTATTAAACAAAAAATTGACCTATTATAGGTACCTATAATAAATTACAAACTAATCATATCACAATATCCATTAGATACTTATAACGCGTTATACATCAACAAAAACCGTGATACTATCATAGATATATAATAGTACACTTTAGAAGTTTCAAGTACCCACGAATAATATTATTCAATCAAAACAAAATAACTAAAATCGTAATTCTTGGTTTAAATATGAAATTTTGTCTAAATTTGAAATTAAAATGTCTGTAAAAAATAAGTGTGTTTATATATTTTTTAGATTTTTTGGTTACAGTATGAATTATTTAAGAGAATCTTTGTTTTAAATTTTCAACTCTTAGTTATAAAAACTGAACATTTTATAATTTTTTAATTCCAACGATTGATAATTTTCGAGATTTTGATAAATTTTGTCAAAATTCCAACTTTAAATGCTTATAAAAAAAAATCGTGCCTATGTATTTTAATATTTTTCAACTGATATTGTAACAATATATCAGGAGCCTTGTATTAAATTTTTACACTTTTTGGCCCAACAGATACACCTTAATTGATATTTATAGAAAAAAAAACTAAAAAAAATTGAAAGCTGTAAATGTCCATAAACAGCTCAAAAAGAGTCAAAATATTTTCAAAATTGTATGGTGTATAGAAAATGCTAATTTAAACATTCAGTGAAATTTTCATGTATCTACAGTTGTTCGTTTTTGAATTGCAACAAAATAAGGAAATCGCTACATGAGTAATCGAGTGAAAATCCAATGTTGTAAAAATTTGAATTTCAAACGCTCATAAAAATTTAATTTGACTGTCCGGTAGAGATTTTTTTATTGATAAAGGTAGATAATCTTATAAGGAATCTTGTGTTTCATTTTCAAATCTTAGATTTAAATAGAAAAATTTTTACGAATTCTTAACTCAAAATAATTTGCTAATTTTCGTGATTTTTCCATATTTTGTCAATTTTTGAACTTTAAATGCTTATAAAAAAAAATTGTGACTAAGGATTTTTAATATTTTTCATCTGCCTTTTAAAAAACATATTAGGAACCTTCTATTAAATTTTCAAGCTTTCGCAACCAATAAATAAAATTTTATTGATATTTTTAGAAAAAAAACTAAAAAAATGGAAAATGAAAATGTCCCTAAACAGTTCAAAATAAATCAAAATATTTTGAAAATGTTATCGTGTATAGAAAATGCAAATATAAACAACCAGTAAAAATTTCATGTATATACGTTCATTTGTTTTAGAGTTACACCAATAACCAAAATCGATTTTTTGGAAAACCAATTTTGCGTAAAAATTCCTGTTTTTCCTTAATTTTTATGTTGTTTTTCCCGGCGCTTGTGAAAACTACTGGGAAATTTATACTTTTGACCCCCCCAAAGTACCAACTAGATTCACTTTCCTACCAGAAAAGCTACTGATGAAGAAAATCCAAGCATTTTTACTGTCCTAAAACGTGATGACAGACACAAAAATATAAATAAAAATATAAATAAAAATATAAAAAAAAACATACATCATTGTAAAACCAATACATTCATCGCTCCGCTCATAATCTAAAATGTCAGGAACTGCTGATGATATTATACAACCGAATTTCGTTAAGATAATACATTTTTATTATTTAATTATAATGGTCAAATTGTAATGTTTAACACTATACATTTATTAAAACTAATTATATTTGGTATTTACTTTGGAGTTGTAGGTATAACGGGGATGTTGTCACAGTTGTCATCAATATCCGCCAACATCATACTAAGCCTAAAGTTTGCATCTTGATCACTGACTGAAGTGTTTGAGTCCACCATAACCAAGTCAGAGCTGAATTTAGGTAGTTCTTCCAAAAATTTTTTCCTTGATTCTTCTTCTTCTTTATATTCTTTATTTCGGCATTGTATTTCTTTCAAAATTCTACATTCTTCTTTTACCTCTGATAATTTTTTGTTAAATTGGTGTTTAACCTTTTCTATTTCACATTTACCATTTTGCATAAATGCATTCTTATTATTTAATTTCAACTCTAAATCAGCAATACGGGCGTTTGATGCTTCTAATAATGCAGATTTATGGTATAACATATTTTGAAGCTCTAAATAATAACAAAAATATTTATTAATTTGTATTTATTAAAGGATATTGGACTTGCACCCGATCGTCATTGGTAAGCCTTATCGTATAGGTAATAAATTATTATTATTAGGTAATAATTTTTAAAATAGTTGGTTGTGCAGAGAAGAATGATTTTCAAGTTAATTTAGTAGGGACATTTAAGTTGATAAATAATGAGAGGAAAGGAGGGGAGTCAAGAAAACCTGAAAGGAACTTAATTCAGGGGCGGACTAGTAGCACCCCAGTTCACTATTTCAAGAATATGAGTGTTCCAAATACGGTTTTAGGCTTATTTTTTTTCTTCTAAATATCAATAACATTATTAATTAAATCAAATAAAAATTAAAAATATGGTACAGGTACATTAAAAAAAATTTAATTTAATATAGGTATACTGCCCAAAGCATAACATAAATGATAATTTGTTACATAAAATAAAAGTTTATACCTAAATATTACCTAATATACCTATTATATTTGTGTTAAAAATAATGAGTATTGATATTGACTGGCATTAACTAAAAAGTCACACAGTGTAATTTTCTGACATTATATTATTGGTAGTAATATAATTCATGAGGTTTAAAGACAAATAGATATACAGTTAACACGTTGATTGCGTAGTGATGCCAATTGTAAGTATCATAAGTATCATTCAGCAACGCGTTTGACGCTAAATTTTGTCTTATATACTTTTAAAATAAATGGTTTAAAATTCCCTAAGCGTGGCTGAATGTTATTTTAATATTATTTAGCTTGGATTAAACGCATATTTATAAATATGTTACATACGTCGTTATGAGCAGTTTCTTTATTTTTTTTCTTTTTACTTTTATCATACCCACTGGGTGAAAACTGCAAAAAGACATACGTAGTCTACGTGTTAAACGAAGTAACAAGGTATAAAATATAAAATAGATCCTCATAAATAAGTATATTGTGGGACAAGAGAAAACTCATTAAACTTACTAAAATCATTTATTAATTATTTCTAAATTCTAATTGACCACAGAAAGCTAGAATAGATTATCAATATACTATAGTGATGATTATTAATTTTTGTTTTTTTAAATACGAATATGGAGTCTGTAGTCTTTTGTTGTGCCAATGATAAAGTTATTTTATTAAAGCATAACAATTATAAATTACTTTAAAGCATATAATGATAAATCTAAGTCTAATTAACTCATATTATAACGCTTATTTGACTATCAAGCCCGAGCCCTGCCTGTGTTTATAAGTAATATATATTTCATGACACATACCGTTTATATTATGTTTGTATGATTCTTGACTCAACATAGCATTGCTGGCATCATATCTAAGAGCATTTACATGAGAAACAACATCATGCTGTTGAGATTGCATCTCACCTCTCATAACTAGTTCGCGTTGCAAATTTATCACTGTATTTTTTAGTTCTTTACTAATGTTAGCGGTTGCTTGCACAATAGTTAGTTCACTTAAAGTGTTGAACAGCTCTGCTTTAGTCTCAGATAATTGCTAAATAGAAAATAATGAAATCAACCTTCTATACTCTTTCCAGAATAAGAACGCATTGCATTCGCGCATATTGCAGGGCGTGTGGTGTAAAGGAGAGAGCTCGGTGTGAACTACAATGGTCTGTGGAAGGGGACGGATCTGACTAGACCAGATTTTGTTTCTTGTCAGGTGGCCAGGAGCGTTCTTATTCAAAAAAGGGTATATACATAATCACATTTTTATGTGTACACACTTACTTTAGTAACCTCGGCAGTCTTCAATCTCTCTCCATTATAAAGCTGTTCTAATGATAAGCATTTATTTTTAGCTTCTTTAGTTTCCTCTTGATATTTTGAACACTAAATTATAACAATCAATTTATTATTTATTAGCATAATATAAAAAAAAAAATGTTCTAACTTCAGTTTGCCAATGTGATACTCTCTCTTTAAGGTCTTTAACTTGTTTTAATGAGTCTTGCCTCAATTTTTCAAACCCTGAAGTTCCATCTTCAATTTCAATCTGTAATTTTAAAACTTGATCTTTCTGTAATAAAAAAAAAATAATTCAGAGTTTACATTTTATTTCTGATGTTTTCTGCCAATATTTAACCCTTGACTCACCAGAGCGGAATTGTGTTCATCAACAGCTCGACTACTTCTTGATTTACCTAAAAGTCTACGATTTCGTTCTGCATGAACTTCTCTACGGTTACGTTCAAACTGTAATTGTAATGTTAACAAAGCGATTTGGTCTTGCAATAATTTGACATCATCACTAGATTGTGCTGTATGGCGATGATTAAGAACTATTGCCGATGTGCGCACATATTTTTCAATTAAACATAAAGACTCATCTTCTTGATTATTAAAAATGTTTTGTTGACTTTTACCACCTACAATAAATTAATAAAATAATTGTTAATGCATTATAACCAAACCAATTAAAATTATTTTAAAACTTACTATTGTGTGGATCATTATTATATGCAGGAAATATGCTATAAAACAAATGTTCATAAGGTAAAATATGATCTGTTTGAGTGGAAACCGTCTGTACATTAGTTATATTAATATCATTTTTTGATTTTTTTTTCTGTAAAATAAGTTGTTGATTATAAGCAATAATTTAGATGATTGAATCAGTTATTCAAACTGAAAAGTATATTCAATACTTACTGGTAGTGAAGTAACATGGCCATTACTAATATTTATACCATCTCCATGATGATCCTCTTCAGTTTCTTCTTGTAATGGTGAAGTGCCAGAAGAAATACTACTCCCATTGGTTTTTTTAATCTCGGGACATGAATTTGCTCTTCGAACACTAAGTAATGAAAATTCAGGTCCTTTTTTAGGGCTGCTATCAGTACTTTGTCCTAAAGTGAAAATTCCATTTTATATTATACATGTAAAAAAATTATATAAATCTATTAAAAATGTAAGGTAAATATATATTATATTATTTACCAGTAACGTTTATAGTTTTCTCTGGAGTACATTGACTATGATAACGTCTTCGTGTTCGAACACTCATAACAAATTCTTTTAAAGAAGTAGAATCAGGCATATGTAATCCACCCTCATAGGTTTGACATGGTGACCCATTACTCTGTTGATCACATTCAATGATATCATCGTCTCCAGTCTTTAAAATATTAATTATTTGTTATTACATACAAATATTTAATAATATTAAGATAGTATTTAGTGCAGTACTTGTAATATTTCAGGATTATTTGGTAGTTGAATTTGGGCTGCAATAGGCTTTGATTCAGAACGTACATTATTCTCATCTTTAATTGAATCTGTTATCTGAAAAATAATAATAAAAAACATTACAAAAATAAAAATAATAATTTAAAAAATTTTTAATAATATATTAAATATTTATTTTTTATAACATTTTTCTGATAGTTTGTCCTAATTCTACCTGATTCCGTTCCATTATCATTCTGTCCACTCTACGAACAAGTGACTGTGATTGGATATCTTCGGTAGGAAAAATAAACCCTTCTTTTTTCAATGGCGAACTAGGCTGAGAATTTGGTGTTGATGAATTACGTCTAGGTAAATTGTCTTTACCAAATGAATTCAATGCCCTGACTACAGTCGAGTTTATAGATGGCAACCTCGATTGATGATATAAAACGTCCTTTCAACATTGATTGGAATAAGTCATAATTCACATATTTTTCAATATAAATGAAGCGATAGTAGAAAACAATTGTTTGAAGATATATAACTACCACATAGAATATAAGATGGATTTTTTAAAGGCTACATATATTTTATAAAATCGATATTAAAAACCAAAACAGCTTTGGTTACCTACTTTACTCCTTTTAGATTCTGAGCGGAGCGATGAATGTATTGGTTTTACAATGATGTATGTTTTTATATTTTTATATTTTTATTTATATTTTTATTTATATTTTTATTTATATTTTTGTGTCTGTCATCACGTTTTGGGACAGTAAAAGTGCTTCGATTTTCTTCAATAGTACCTTTTCTGATAGGAAAGTGAATCTAGTTGGTACTTTGGGGGGTCAAAAGTAAACATTTTCCAGTAGTTTTCACAAGCGCCGGGAAAAACAACATAAAAATTAAGGAAAAACGGGAATTTTTAAGCAAAATCGATTTTCCAAAAAATCGAATTTGGTTATTGGTGTAACTTTAAAACAAATGACCGTAGATACATGAAATTTTCACTGGTTGTTTATATTTGCATTTTCTATACACGATAACATTTTCAAAATATTTTGATTTATTTTGAACTGTTTAGGGACATTTTCATTTTTCATTTTATTTTAGTTTTTTTTCTAGAAATATCAATAAAATTTTTATTGTTGGTTGCGAAAGCTTGAAAATTTAATAGAAGGCTCCTAATATGTTGTTTCAAAGGCAGATGAAAAATATTAAAAATCCTTAGTCACAATTTTTTTTTATAAGCATTTAAAGTTCAAAATTGACAAAATATGGAAAAATCACGAAAATTAGCAAATTATTTTGAGTTAAGAATTCGTAAAAATTTTTCTTTTTAAATCTAAGATTTGAAAATGAAACACAAGATTCCTTATAAGATTATCTACCTTTATCAATAAAAAAATCTCTACCGGACAGTCAAATTAAATTTTTATGAGCGTTTGAAATTCAAATTTTTACAACATTGGATATTCACTCGATTTCTCATGTAGCGATTTCCTTATTTTGTTGTAATTCAAAAACGAATAACTGTAGATACATGAAAATTTCACTGAATGTTTATATTAGCATTTCATATACACCATACAATTTTGAAAATATTTTGACTCTTTTTGAGCTGTTTATGGACATTTACAGCTTTCAATTTTTTTTAGTTTTTTTTTCTATAAATATCAATAAAGTTTTATCTGTTGGGCCAAAAAGTGTAAAAATTTAATACAAGGCTCCTGATATATTGTTACAATATCAGTTGAAAAATATTAAAAATACATAGGCACGATTTTTTTTTATAAGCATTTAAAGTTGGAATTTTGACAAAATTTATCAAAATCTCGAAAATTATCAATCGTTGGAATTAAAAAATTATAAAATGTTCAGTTTTTATAACTAAGAGTTGAAAATTTAAAACAAAGATTCTCTTAAATAATTCATACTGTAACCAAAAAATCTAAAAAATATATAAACACACTTATTTTTTACAGACATTTTAATTTCAAATTTAGACAAAATTTCATATTTAAACCAAGAATTACGATTTTAGTTATTTTGTTGTGATTGAATAATACTATTCGTGGGTACTTGAAACTTCTAAAGTGTACTATTATATATCTATGATAGTATCACGGTTTTTGTTGATGTATAACGCGTTATAAGTATCTAATGGATATTGTGATATGATTAATTTGGAATTTATTATAGGTACCTATTATAGGTCAATTTTTTGTTTAATACCATAGATATGTATATAATATGCCTTATACATAGACTGACATACCATCACCGCTCAGAATCGTTTTTCTTATACAATGATATTATATCATTGAATTCAAATTTAATACCATCCATTATACAGTGACCCACTTGTAACCTACTGTACAGCAGAGCGACACCCACTTGCCCACCTTTTTTTACTATGATTTGAATTAAATTTACAACTTTTATCATAAATTTAGTTTACATAGGTTGTAGGAGCTATCAAGAATTTAAGAAAATCATTAATGGTTATTGTTTATAGATGACTTTAAAAGACCATCAAATATAATATGAGATGAACAATGAATATGAAATTAATAACTTTTTATTTTAATAATTTAATTTGCTGTGATTAATATTTGTATGGTGGGATTTATAAATATAATAAAGAAAATGTATTACACTCAATTAAATTTTAAACAATTATAAAAATGTAGTTTACAGTTCAATATTAGATCAAATTATTTCATAAAAATGAATACATTTATTCTTCATTAGAAATTAATATAATAAACCAAGACGTTTTAAATTTAAATTCAATAGTTATTTAGTGTTTTAAGTAGAGGAGGTTAAAAATGTTGACAATTAAAAAAAAAAAAAAACAAGTATTGAAACAGATAATAAGTATTTTTATTTTAAACAGATTACTGTGGTTAAATAATAGCAAACTAACCAATTTTTAAATATATTTTTATGATTATATTAAGAAGATGACGTACCCGCATATGTTGCTTCAGAATTACATTCCGTACAGCATACCAAATTTTTGTTTACCCGTTTCAATAGTTATTAGTTATGGTATTAGAATGAACTGACTTATTATCAAACTTAAAGGTAAGAACATTATCTGTGTTCGGTCAATAGTTTTTTTTATGATATTTTAATTTTTAAGTGATTATGAGTATTTTAAAATATTAAGAAAGATTGCAATTTTGTTCATGTGTAAGATGGACAATAATTAAAAAAATATTTACCCTGATTGGTGTTGTTTCTGGAGTGGCTTCGATAGCTGCTTCTGGAGGTGAATGTTCATTATGGTTGCACATCAATGGCTTATAGTAGTTCTGAAATATAATAACTAAAGTTATAAGTTTGCTTTTTTTATATTTATTAGCACTTATTAGTTATACATCAATTTTACCTGTATATTTGGAGTGGTAGGAATAGATTTAACAGTATCTGTATCAAATTCACCACAATATAACATTGGACTCCATAATTCTTTGTCTCTGACACTATTTACACTAATAATATCTCCAGTTGCTCCAATACTTGATTTTAAAATTTCTAAACATATTTTAGACAGGTTGAAAATTGATTGATTTCATAACATATTCATTATAAACAGGCATTATTATAAATTGTTAGATTTTTCATTTGCTAAATAATTGAATTATTATTCCTAATTACTTTTATTATGGTTCATACTTTAACCAACTAAATTTCATGCCCATAATAAGATGACCTATATTATAATTTATAAGTAGTTTTTATAGTTTGATTATTTCAGAATTTTAGTAATATAATATAATATTAATTCCAATTTCTTTTTATAGTCCTTATTTAGCATTAATTATAATAATGTATTTTACTACAGTGTAAAATAGTCATACATTAAACAGCAATTGAAAAATACAATTTATTGTTAAATATCATGTTAGGTAATTTAAATTATAGATTACCAAGAGCTGATGAAAAATTTGACCCCGCATTTGTCCAAGTTGAAGGATTTTGATAATTTCTATCCCCATTTTCCAATAGAGTATATCTTGTACATTCCATAACAACATCATGTTGCTCCATTTTTTTCCACCTGTAAAATAATATTTTAAACACATTAAAGTAAGAAATAAAAATAGATGATATTAAACTAGTCAATCATTTTTTTTAAATTATGAATTACACTTAATGATAGAATTTATTTTGAAGAATTTCATAATGATGTGAAGTAATTAACATACTTACATTATAAATTATATTAAAGTATATAAATATAATAATATATACAATACCTATGAACTGATGTTTCCACATCTTTGCTGCTCACAATTAAACTTGGATGCATACGCATTGTTTCTATCATGGGCTAAATTAAAAAACGAATGATAGTTATAAATACAATTAAAATATTTCATAAATGTTTCTTACTTTAATTGTATGAGTGAAAACTAAATCAGGTGTACTATATTGTTGCTTTAAATATAACACAAATGAACATGGATACATACTATATAGCTGAACAAATAATACATATAATGATATCTGAAGATGGAATAAATGTATTTCCGGAACTTTGTTTTTTTGAGAAGTATTCCAAGCCGCCAAACGACTGAAGTTTAAAAAATATTTTTTATTATTTACAAAAGTAAGTTAATAAAATAATGATACATACCTAAATCCTTCAAAAATATCAGGTAGAAATGAAGAAATAAGTGCAGGAATAACAGTCAAAAGTACATTAAGAGCAAGTAAAGCACTAGTAATAGTAATTATTTCATTTTCGGACTGAAAAAAAAAAGTATTAACAAATAAAATATATTAAATGTATAATTTAAAATGTGTTGCATATGAATTTCATCTTAAAACGGCTCTGCAATCTATTGTTCCTTGGTGTATTCAATTGTTGAATATTCTACAGTGTTATGGAACCCGCCACAACACACAGTGCCTCCTAGTTATAATGAAGTCAACGCCGTTCCCTATGTTTTGCAGGTCATGAACTAGATATTGAACACCCTCAACATGCTTATTCTAATGTCCTACACCACCTTGGTTTAACCCTTTCATAGCTCCAAATGTACTAATAGATTCCTGAATTTATAATATTAACATTTGTCGGTAACCATCACATTTTAGGAAACCCTGGCTCACATTATTTTAAACTTAAATAACTAGTTCAAATAGATCGCAAGATGAATATAAACATTTTTTTGTTAATATTCAACATTTTACGTTGCATACAAAGGTAGCAGAGGATAAATAGTGTAACAGTTAAAAGGTTAAGCACCTTAACTGTCAGAAACAGAATAGTTAAAATTCAGCAAACTTATAATTTATTATTGGCACTCTTGATGCCCCAATCTCTTCTATCGCATAAATTGTATCACAAGTAAATTTCAAAGTCCTCTATACTTCTTTCAAAACTTCACTCCCTTTGTAATCCTGTTCCACGCCACAAACTGCACTCGTAACCTTTTGATTGTGCACATGATGTGTCAAACACCCCTTCTAATCTCATGAACCCTGTTATGTAATCATTGGTTTTTTAATTTCTTCAATGTAGAATGTTGTCTTTAATTGTACCTAATATTATTATTGTTATTACTTATATGTTTGACCTTATTATCTTATAATTATATCGTATATTGTACATAATATTATGTCCATTAGTAAAATAAAATAATAAAATAAATAATTCATACCTTTAAAAGTTTTATTAATTCCTTGAGTAAATGATGGTTTGTAATTTTAATCAACCATGTTGGTTGTCTCTTTACTACGTGACCCAGTAATGTAAGTGCTTGAAGACGATTTGTACTTCGTAAGCCATCAACAAGCCTAGATACATTATACATCAAAATTATATTTTTTAATTTATGAATAATTATGATTAATGAAAATATTACCTATCAAAGAGATACTTGTCATGTGGTTCCCTGACAGCCACTAATACTTCTACAGCTCTTTGTGATCCAGTTGACATAAAATAATCATACATTCCATTTAACAGCCATGGTTCTTTTACTGTTAATTAAAATGAATACTAATCTATAATTTTTACTCAAATTGTTTTAGATAAATTCAAATTGTTTACCGATATTAAATTGTTCATGAAATTTGTGTTTTACAACTTCTACCTCTTTAGGAATGTTGGATTCTAATGATGTGAACAGTTCCATAACCTCCATAGCAATCATTTTTCCAACTAAACATTCTATGTTAATTATACTTTATCTGAAATACAATTAAAACCCAAAATTATAAGTTTAACTAATAAGTTATAAATAATTATGTAACAACATACTTAAGCTGTCAACCACTTAAAGTACAACATTTCCAACTTAAAGTTTTATTTAAACTTATGATTCGATTAGAAATTTATAAAGAAGTAATAAAAAATATATAAATTTCAGAAAAACATGTTATAGCTATTCCACTTTATTTACTGCCATCTAATGGCATTTTACATTAACTCATTTACATAAATTTATCATTTGTTCTGAAAAATAATATATTTACAAGTTTATCAATCCACTAAAACATTTTATCAATAATAATTCAGAATATCATCTAACTTCTTGGTGTGGTTTATATAAAAAGTAATAAGTATTATCATAGTTATTGTAATTTAATATAATCTGGAGTAATACTACCAATATGGCAATATACAACTATATAGTAGATATCAACCATGAATTACAAGATTTGAAAACAGTCTCATAATAATATAAAAAATCCGTCCACTGTACCAAATAATAGTCACATACAGTTATATATTTGTCTACTTGACGATTATCAAATAAATAACAATGATACTAAAAATTATAATAAACGAAATGTTTTAGTGATTTTCTGTCTGATTTATAACAGCAGAACGAGACGGAAATCCACTTGGTCTATCATTAGGTACAACTCACCATATTATTAATTCGTATTCGCAGTAGACGTTACGAATATTATGTATATATATATATGTATTCTACAAGCAGAACTAGCAGAATAATATGATCGATTCAACGGTGTTCTCCTGTGCGACCCGGTTAGGTTAGTGTTGTGAAATTCGCGAATAGACAGTGGGTCTTAGATCGCACTCGTCAAAGTTAAAATGGTGAAGATAAAAAATGACGGAAAAACAATGAAATCAGCCTTCATGATTTCTTCCGGCCACTCGTTCATCGTTTTATATACTTTATAATTTGATGCAATTAACTACTAACTAGTACGGCAAGACATACGTGCAAACTACAAGTCTACAAATTAAATACAACTATATATAACATGTATATTATAACAAAAATAATAATATCTATAATGTAGTAGGTATGTTAAATTTAATAATAATTAATAATATATTAAACGGTGATAACGAACACAATGCATCCAACCGAAGTCGATCAGATGTTTAGCAGTTTCAAGGTCAGCTGTCACCGACTGGAGGTAAACATAAAGTAATGGAGGTAAGGGACTGCATTCATTGTGATTTCATATTCCATATTTCCATATAATGTTATTATTCATTCCAATTTTTTTTATTTCAAGGTTATCTACCGTAGATAACCGTCGTTCCAATAGACATTTTGTCCAAAAAAATTGAATTAAGGTATTATTGTTATTGGATTTCGCTTTTTGGATTTTAGAACAAATACATATTCATTTGAGCAAAATATGTATTTTGAACACGATTAAAGGTATTATAATTTATAATATTGTAGGTATCAGGTATGTATAGAGACTATTTTAAACAAGAGATGACTGACTGGTAGATGTACCTACTCTTGTACATTGGACCAAAATGTAATGTTTTGGTAATATTTATTTGATCAAAATAATAGCACAAACAATAATAATAGGTGCCATCCTTAATATTTTATAAAATATCGCATATTTTATTCATTCTGGTTATTAAGCTGTTTTCACAAATGTCATTATTCATTACCTAATTTCAATAGGTACCTACTTCCATATTGAAATTTTGGATTGAAGATGATGACGCGCCCTGCACGCATGCTGTTTTAACTTATAACTGATAAGTGATAAGTCATAAGATAGGTATATTCTTAATATTTGTAATTTGAAATTTTTTTTTCAAAATCCAACGTTATAACTTTATAAGTTATAGTTAACTATTAATTTAGTGTAACATAGGTACCTACCTAACTTCTATTGTTCTTCTAATATCTATATCCAGTGATGAGTGATGTATTGGTAATTTTTTTCTAGGGTACCTATACGCTTAGCATAGATTTTAAAAATGTTATCGTGTATAGAAAATGCTAATATAAACATTCAGTCAAAATTGTATGTACCTACGGTCATTAATGGTTTAAGAGTTGCACCAAAAACCAAAATCGATTTTTTCGAAAACAGATTTTAGGGTAAAAATTCCCGCTTTTCCTTAATTTTTATTTTGTTTTTCACCTCGCTTTTGAAAACTGCTGGAAAATTTACTACTTTTGACCCCCCAAAGTACCAACCAGGTTCACTTTCCTATCAGAAAAGCTACTGTTGAAGAAAATCCAAGCACTTTTACTGTCCTAAAACGTGATGACAGACACAAACAAAAAATTAAAAATTAAAATAAAAAAAACACACATCATTGTAAAATCAATACATTCATCGTTCCACTCAGAATCTAAAATCAAAACAAACCACACAATAGTTAGATAGATATAATACAAATTAATCACTGTTCAATATAAATATTAGGTACCTATAATATATTATCACTCCTAGCACTCCTAGAACAAGACTGCCACAACTCAAAATTCATGAATTTTGAGTTATGACTACTTTTGGATAGAGAAAAATAAGCTCTTTTAAATGCAAGAACGCCACATTCAATATCATTTTTCATTTAGCCACTATAGAGATGTGTCTGTATTGAATTATTTAAATATTGGTTAATTTTCAATGCAAGAGAGCCATATTTACTTTATGGCAGTATACTTATTTTTATTTATCCAAATTATCACTGAAGTCAAAATTCAAGACTGCCTTATTTCGACTTGTGGCGTTCTTGCACTGAATAAAAACTAATTATCGTGTAATATGTTGAGTGCAAAACAGCAATATTTAGAGTTGTGGCAGTATTGCATTTTATAATTTGTGATAGTGCAGCCACAACACGAATTATGACTCTATTGTATTTATAAATAGAATAGCTTTTTGTTTTGCGCCAAATTCTCATATAGTCGCATCTCAAAATATGGCAGTCTTGCATTTACTTAAAAAATTGTAAATGGCCACAAGTCTAAATGTTTGGGCTTAAGAGGACGTGATACCCATAATATTTAGTGGTAAAAACAGGTCTACGAAAAACAAACAAAACGCTATTAACAAATGGTTTTAGAGCAAAAATACCTATTATGAAATTTATAGAAAACAATATTTAGGAGACAACCTCATATGCGTTTTTTGAAATATGAATTATTAAAAAAGTTACAGTTGATTAAAAAATGTAAAAAAATAGGTTTTTGTGCCATTTATAACGAGCTGTATATTTAAAATAGAAGAAAACCCATATGAGGTTGTCTCTGAAATATTGTTCTCTATAAATTTCATAATAGGTATTTTTTCTCTAAAATCATTTTTTAATGCTGTTTTGTTTGTTTTCCGTAAACATGTTTATGTTGTTCGAATTAATTTTCATTGCCGTAATGTGCTGCCACCTGCCTGCCGCTGCGACGTCGGCCGCAATTTCCCCCCACTACTCCAAAAACTGAATTTCCGATACGACGATCGCGCGGCGACGGTCTGCCGATGGTTATCGGACGTTTCCAGGAATAGACTGAACTAATATAGACAATATCATAAGCTAATAACCTCGGTATAAACTATAATGCAATAAGAATTATTTTTATTTTTATTATAATAATCGGCATTGATGATTGACAGCATACGATCTACCAACTCTTATTTGTATTATTATTTTAATTTTATTATTATTATTATTATTATGTATTACGGACATAATAATATTTTCAGATGATAGGTACTAGGTACCTACTTCAAAAGTTCAAAGTATGCATTATTTGTAGTAATTCAAGTATATACTACCTAAAAAAAATCTGTGTTTTCCTACAGAATTTAGTTATAAATTATAATGGTATACCTATTGCTGGTAAAAAATATATCTTAATATCACAAATGGTCAAATATGCACTTATAAATGAAATATGATCAAATATGTAAAAGGCTGAGTGAATTTCAAAATATTTGAAAAATTAATATTGTAAAGTATGGTTGTAAGTATTTAAGTGTTAAATTTCAAACGCATAAGTAAAAAATGCATTAAAATATCTTAAGTCCAAACTTCAAATTGATTTTTCTCAAAACTATAAATTTTGAGTTGTGACAGTCTTGTTCTAGGAGTGCGAATTATCTGTAACAAAAATACAAAAAACAAACTAAGAGTATATTATAATAGTTAGTTAGGTAAAATATAATATTTATTATCAATATATAATATTTTATAAATCAAATGTCTATAATAAATCACTGAAAACGAGTCGAAATATTTTAAAAATTGCAGACCTCAATGATTTCTGTAAAAGAACACACGATTTATCAATATACAGATCTATATAATATACCTATAGATGTATACTGAATGTAGAAGTTCTATGGATTTATCATATAAAATAATATATTTTATATCATCTGACATCTATGGCAATCGCCAATTGTCGACATTCGTCGGCGACGATTAACAATATTCTAATAATTTTAGTGAAAACTGAAAAATAAAATAATAAGCCATCAATATGGACAGATAGTTCGTTAAGCCGTATAATATATTATTATGTAAGTTTTAACACGAATTCGCACGTTTCGTTATGTTCAGGTAATTTTCATAAAATATTTCGATAATTTCAAGTTACAGTTCGGAACGAGATGAAGATAGCTGTTTCCTCGGTGGCGTCACGTACTGGACGTTTGCATTGTTGATTCACTCTAGTTAGGTTTCACCGGAAGAGTCGATGTTTCAGCGTAAGTTTGTTTTCATATTATTTTGGGATTTACGTTTTACTTTTAGGCATTTTTATAATTAAAAACATAATATAACGTAATGTTCTAGTAGAAACTGGAAACTGTAGTACCTATATTCTAATTAAGGGGTATGAATAGTATTGAAAAAATCTATAAAAATGTACTTTTGTATTTCCAATAATATGGTTTATTAAGTGGTTTGAGAGTA